AGAGAGAGAGAGAGAGAGAGAGAATGAGTGAGAAGAAGATGGAGAACGAACTCTCGTTGGTAACGAAGACGGGATGTAAGGAGGTATGGGCGCAAGGAAGATGGGATATTTAGCTCCACCGATGGAAGATTCACATCCAGGGGGGCGTCACCCTGATCTCCCTTCCTTACCGACAGAGAGAAACTCCCTTTATCCAAACGTCGATGACTCGAAGAGACGGGGTAAGATATGTTGAAGAGGGGGGGACAAATGATCCGAATGGTAACAGTGGCTGGTCCATACATGCCGCGAAAAATTTACCCCCACTATTTCACCCTCACAACGTACGCCTATTGCGTTGTATATGCTCGCATATATTTTCTTTTGGTCATCTAAAGGGCTGTAGATAATAAAATGTCGTAAAAAGACCACTCTGACAGTCAAGATGAGAGGATATAAAATTTTCGATTAATCTGTAAATTGACGCGTTGACCTTGACAACTTATTTTAACAGCTTTCTTTCTATTTATTATAATATGCACGGTCTTCGCCAATTTTTACGTGATTATACGAACACGTGCTCGACTGAAGCAACCTATAGGAAACGTCTGCTTTAATCTCCTTAAAACAAATTTTTTGCCTTTTTAGCACGCAAGTCGGTTTTAAACTATCAGGAAAGGTATGACAAGAATATTATTATCTATATAGTAATTTCAACATTTCTCTAATATTCCGATTTAATAATTTCTATATATACTCGTACGATTTTTAATCTCTAGATATATATAAAAAAAGTTTTTAAACAATGTTTTTTTCTTTACAATATTTTTTAAATATATATACAATATTTTCTATAAGATGTTTTTTTTCTAACAATAAGTAATCTTTCAAAAAAAACTTTAAAGCGTTATTTTTCAATAATGTTTAATTTAAAAAATTATCGAAATTTTTCTTCGTTTATTAAACTTGTGTAAAATTTATTAGAAAGTCATGTGTTCAAGGGTTACATTAATAAACACAAATTAATTGATATTCTTATATAAACTGTCAGTCTTAGAAAACGTACACGTTTATTCTAATAACCCGTCTTTTTTTATCTAAAACTTGTGAAATAGAATATACGTATAATGGTAAATTACATTTCCTTTACTATGTTGTGACAAAATGCACACGGAAAGAACGCGATTTTGATGAAGTATATGTCTAAAAATTTAATTAAATATAGATCTAAAAATAATTTTTTAAACTACACACCAGCATAAGAAATAATGCTGCAACAAATTTTGATACTCCAGCAATTATAATAATTGATACGTACATGATTATTTTGTTTTAACGAAATATATTTTTACATTCTTTTTAGATTTTTTTGGATTTTCATAATATCTAACTAAATTTTTTAATATTTTAGTAGAACCGTTCATTTCATGTATAATTACAACACCTAACTCACAGAAGACTTTTAAACACAAACGCGCAGGACGATTATCTCACGACAACGTGTCGCAAAGGCTTCACGGTTGACAGACTTTGTGAGAATGATGAATAATAAGAACTCGCGCTAAAAATTAAGTCATTTCAGGTCGTTGTACAATAAAGAATTTTTTCGGTCATTATTTTCTTATTGTCTCATGATTGAAAGAGCATGCCATTTGTACTTTTCCAAATGCGTTATTTTATTCATATGCTGATGAAGTATAATATATCATTCTAGTGTAACGTAAACTGTATCGAATTTAAGGCTTTTACGACTTATCGCTTTGAATTTTGAAACATCGGAATTATTTTAAAATTTTCCTTTTTAAATAACCATATAGAATTTTATAGATACAACTTTATAGATAATTATTTAGAAGCACCCGATCCAGCTTAGACCGCTGTGGCATTGTCTCTCATTCGGTTTGAAATTTAGCGGTCCAATAAGAATTAATATTGTTTATAAATAATATTTGTAATAAATGTATAGAATTTGACACTCTAGATGCAAAAAACAGGTAATCAATCGAGAGATCGTCATACTTGACAGAATCCTAATAAGGACCGGTAGTATAAATAAAATCATTTGCGGTATAGGTGTCGTGCTCATAATGCTTTTTGAACAAATTTTTGCAGTAATTAATTATTATAGAAATGAATTCTTCGCTGTAATGAATATAGTATGAGTGCATTGCACGCAACTTTTCTTATTCAATTTTCCGAATAAAAAATGTAATATCGTGCAACATTTCTACGTTATTGCAATCACGTAATAAGACGCAATCTCTTTACAAGGTTTTTGCAACTTTTCTAGATTATATGGATCGTAGCTTAGAGTGATCGTTAGTGGCAATCGCGTGACAATTCCGTCGGTTGTAAGCTATAAGTTAAACTGCTATACTCTATCGTCCACTAAAGCTGATGCTCGGAAACAGGTTTCACATAAACTGCATTATTTTCCCCGTGAATTCACGATTACCACGGCTAGTGTCCTAATAAGGAGTCCTAATAAGGAGTCAAGGGTATAAATAAAGTCATTTGTGGCAGTTGCCGTCCTACCCTTCATCGGAGCCCTTCGACGAATCGGGCCTTTCGTCGCGTATGAGAACGTAGAAATCGCAGCTCGAATGGGACTCTGGAGGATCGGTTTGTTTTGCGGATTAGGCTCATGTTTTAGTCGCGGCCCGCGACGAATCACGAAACGCGGACCGGCGCACGTCGCCGCTTTTTCTCCCAGCGAGAGTCGTCAGGCCGTCGACTCTCAATACCACGACGGGTGAGCCGCGAAGGGCTGCGTCCGAAATTGCTTCCATAAATGTTCAGCGCACATAATCGAATTTGCGAAACAATAAACCCGCTGATTGGAAATTAATCAAGCCACACCGTTTACGAGTTCACGGTGAGTCGCAGAAATGCTCTTGCCGTCGACGACTGAGATTAGGTTGAGACATCAAAACTTATATGTACAACGTTAAAAATTTATTATAAGAATAAATAATTAGTTTATATTATCTATGGGATTTACATAATGTTTAAATATATAAAAACGTTTTAGTAACTTATATCGATGAATGCCTATCATATAATAAATGGTAGTTCTCTACGCACAATGGTTACAGATTAATTTGCAATGTAGAATTCGACTAATCATACTTTATCATCGATGACGCCTTTATTTCTCTTTATTTTTAATTCTTCTCTGTTTTTATATTTTTCGTTCGACAACATCTTTCTCTTTTCCAAACTTGCCTTCAATTTATAAACAGTTAATTCCAATAAAAAAAATTCAGAGAATCTTTTTAGAATATTCTATATATTACAAAACTTCAAAGTTTACGCAAATAAATGGAAGTTAGAGAAAAAGTTGATTGAAACGGATAATTCACGCAGTAAGTAAAATCTCAGTAATGGACCTCGCGATTACAATAATAATACATATAAAACGTGGTTAATGTATCTCGTTAAAATATTGTTAATTAAATCAGCTTACGTACTTAAGTTGATTATAATTTCTTGAGTATGACAAACAGGTACGTTTAAGACATGCCGTTATATTATTGACTTTTATTAAAAGTACGTAAAGTATACATGCGCTAAGTGTACAAAATTACAATAGTATTACGTAGAAGAGGTTCCGGTGGAGAGAGTATGTACAACAGGATAATACATCTATATATTTATACGTATATCTATGTATATATGTATATGTATAAGGAAAGGTTCATTTTTGGGATGTAAGGAGGACAAAGTTAGTAAAGAAACTTAAGATATATGAGCATCGTCATCTTCGTTTCTTAAACCGGCAGAATTTAATCCGTCTCTTAATCTTTCGATTAAGCATGGGCTTACAGGAGGATCTCGATATGTGATACACCTGTCCTTCGTTACCTCCGCTTACGCTATTTTTATTGAGCTAACAGTAAATACATCGCGAGCTTTAACGTATCTCGTTTGCTCTTTCTCGAGTCTGATATATAGCGACGTTGCCGCGGCTTCGTCTCGAATGAACTGGAAGACGTGTGTCTCTCGAATGTAAAATGTTGAAATGCAATTATCTTTTGCAATTTTTCAAATGTATTTGTAAACTAAATGGTAAATTTGTTTTTTGTGTAAAAAAAGTTACCATTAGAATTAAATATATACGTCAAAAGTAACGTTTATCTGACAAAAATATTGTCAAGGCTACAAATATAATATGTAGCGTAAAAATATTCTGTAATATAACATAAACAATTTACATTCGAGCAAATACTAGAACGACATTTATTATTGATCTCGAGCGAAAGTTTCATCGCTCCGAAATAGCCTTGGCTACGAAGCCGGGCAACATGACACGACTTGTCGGAGAATAGACTAAATAAACAAACAGTAACAACAAAAATATAAAAAAAAAATGTTCTCTTTTCGTGATCAATGTAAGCATCGAGCTATTCCGTCATGCTGTCGGCACGACGAATTGGCGCCATCCATTATTTATGACACTGTTGCACCATGCTTGCACGTGCACGGTAAGCTGTGCGATGATCGAAATATTATATCCAAATTTGAATCTACATAAACACTTGTAATATTTTTCTAACTCTGTAGTCTACAAAAAGACTTTTTTTTAATATTCTTGATATTCTCTTGACAATTTCATTCGAAATATTAATCAGTCGAATCATTGTATTTATAAATTTGTCTAATACAATATTCTAATATTTCGATCAGCTGCAGCGACGAGTCGCTCGATCTCGTGAAAACAATAGGAAAGACAACAAAGAGCTGCTTTGAAGTCTTCCCTATTTCATTGGTTGTATTTTGGCACGGGGTTGATTGTGAGTCACGCGCGCTTATCTTTCGTTTTGAAGCGAAATTACGCGCAGAATTTTAATTTAAAATAAGTATTCGCCCATCAAATATTAAAATTAGAAGAATTCCTTCTATGAGAAAATATCATTAATTTTGATATGCATATCAAGCCCTATAAAATTATTAATAAACATATAACAAATAAATTTATTACAACAAGAATAGAAGAGAAACAACATAACAATTACGATAAATAAATAAATCAATATCATAAAATGAAATATGTTGCTTCGCCTATTTTGATAGCAGCAGATTTCAATTATTTCGACATACAATGATTCATAAATCTACGGAGAATACCGTCCAGCGGCTTCGTTCGCAATCAATCTTCCCATACGTCGTGACTCGTTCTTGTTTGAGCGTCTATAGCGAATCGAAATTAGATTCTCGATCGCTAGTCTGTGAAAAGTATCAATTAATAAAACCAAATTTCAGTAAGATATTAAATATTAGTAATCCGTAAAAAAATTTGAATATAAATTCATAAGACACTATCTTACCCTATCCGGACTGTATAATGGCGGGTGTTGCGCCGGAAGTCTCAGTGTACTTCCTAAATCGCGCTCAGCCATGGTGTGACCCTCACTGGCGCTGTCTCTGGTATCCCTGTTATCTCTAATGTCCTTGCTGTTTCTTCGGGTAGCGGCGACTTTTGTCGGCGGTTGGATCGTCGTTTCGCCGCACGATCTCGCCAGAGTAGAACCAGCCTCGCCTAGATCCAATCGAAGAAGTTTCGTCGGAGCTTGGATTGTTGTCTCGCCGCATGAGCGAGCTAGAGTCGAGTCGAGATCAACCTGAAGATCTCCGCTCCTCAGTACCTTCGTTGCTGTTTCCACAGTGGTTTCACCGCATGAACGTGCCAAGGTGGATTCGGCATCCACTGTACGGGTCACCGTCGCCGATACCTGTCAATAATTAAAACCTTACTTTTTGTACACTTTCTAAACATCTTGTACAATTAGATTGAGATAAAAACAGAACCGTACCTGAAAACCAGCACTCACAAGAGCACCCGTGGGTGCCATTGGGTTCCTCGTGCCTTGCAAATCAGTTTCCTTGCAGTCTTTCGCGCTAGATATACTTTGTTTTCTATTGGCAGGAGAGCTCGTGCCATTGTCGAGATAGTTTATAAGTTTATGTTCCTCCGCAGCAAATGTACTCATGACGGTCTTATTGTAATTTTGTGGTGATTGCGGCACCGATCGATATTTCGCGCGTGGAATCATAACTGTCAAGGAACGATCACGCTGATCGTCGTTGACTGGTATCGCTGCAGGACAATTAAATTTTATTAAATTAAACTGATTGAATTAATTGTAAACGCACGACTAGTGTGTTACATTTATGACCAACATTATACAAACGTTATTTATATGTTGTGTATATATATATATATATATATATATATATATATATATGTTACATGTTATACAAATATTATAAAAATTCTATATATGAAAGAGGTCGTTTGAAATATAATAAATAAGAAATAACAATAGTAAAACATACCGGTTGCAGGCACCATAGTAGCTTTTCTAGGTGGATGACGAGGTTTCGCGCTGATCTTACGAATAGGTCGTTTGTTCGGCGGCAAGGGAGCTATCATTTGCGGCGGCGGTGGCAAAACGTGCGGTACGTGATGCGGTATCGCCAAGTCAGTGACGCTACCCTCGCTGCTGGTATCACCACCTGTTCCAGGGATCATGGCTCGTCTATCACCGGTTTTCCGATCACGTCCTGGGCGACGGAAGCACGTCATTCCCACACAGATTGCTAGGAGACCCAGCAATATCGCGCCGGTCGTCACTAGAGCTATCAATAAAACTGCAAATATATGAAGATATAATATAATTGTTTAAAAGTTTTGTTTTACATAAAATTGGTTTGATTCTCTGATTTAATTGCAACTCCATAAGAGATGCTTTTTTTACCTTTAAGATTAACTTGACATCGTTGACCACTGTGCCAAGGGAAGCACTCGCAAACGTCTTGACCGAGAGAGTTGGTAACGCAATGACCTTTGTTGTTGCAGCCAGTGCATCCCAATGGAGCTTGCGAGCATACCCGTCCGGGATACGCTGAATTTTCTGATAAATCAGCCCAGCCTTCTCTACAAGAACATTGATAAGATCCTCGTAAATTGAAGCATGCTGCATGGGGTGAACAGTCATGATGCGGACCGCTTGAAGCGCATTCATCAAAATCGGTCGCTTCGATCTAAATTAGATAGAAGGTTGAAATATTAATAATTCATAATTAACAACAGAGCGCCTTGAACTTTTGTAGTTATTAATTTATACCACATGATTTAATTTACCGAATCAAGGTTCTTTGAAGCATAGACCTCTGTGCCACCTAAGCTGTAATTGCTTCCAACTAAGTATTTTCGAAGGACTTCTTTCAATTTGGTTTCATTAGCGTTATCGCTTAGCTGCACGTGAAACTCGACCTTTGTAGGATCCGGAATAAATCCAGCAATTTCGAGGCCTCTGTACACATCTCTTAAGTCACTCTGCATTAAAGTTCTATCCAAAGCTTCCTTCGTCGGAACTATCAAACGTTTGTAAGTTGCCGATGTAGAATCATTTAAGGCAGTGTCATATGCCACAAATTCATGACCGATACGATCCAAACCAACGCGCAGTGTGTATGTATAAGTTGCTAAAAATTATTGCACGTTAACTTAAGCATATCAAATCGAGCAATAAGTATATCCGCCAGTAAAGTACATCAATAAAAAAAGTACATACGGATTTTTGTAAACTTACGTTTGCAAGGACGATCCAGGAACATTCTCGAGAATCCTGGTCGACAAACGCACCTCATCTCGGTTCCTACTTCGGCACATATTTCAGATTTCGACGATTTACACTCCGGTATGCATTGATTCGCAGTTGGCGTAAGAGGTACTATCGGCGCACCGAGTATTCCACCAGTCAGTACTCTATGGATCTCATTACCCATTAGATCTTGCTCATCGCGAGAAATTTCTTCTCCATATTCAGCCTCCACCTAAAATTTAAGCAAAATATGCTTATTTAAGTAAAAATTATTTTTTATAGTTATATTTGATGTAGTTATATTTTATAGTTATAAATTTTTAAGGTATTATAAATAATTATTTGAAAAAATCAAGAAGTCTTTTTTAATGAAACGCACTGACGAGAAGCTTCTGTTTATTATGACGAATAATACGTAGTATTTATTTCATGAATCAGTACCTCTTCTCCTCCGGACACAGGTGGTTTCTGATCGCTCATCACGACAAATATGGAGTCATTATCCGCTACGTTGTCGTACAACGAAGGTATTCTGGTAACAATCGATTGTAAAATTGTCGAAGTTACCGTAGACACTACGCTTGTCGGACGCAGTAATGTTTCCGTCACAGTCTCAACAGTCGTCGTGGTCATTGTGTGCGTTAGTAAAAGTGTCCTCGTCGTTGGCGGCGAACCCAATACCGATGTTTTAGTTCTCGTTACCGTTGAAGTTTTGAATCTTGTCACCTTTATGAACATAAATATATATTCAGGTTGTATACATTAGCCACTAATCAGTAATATATGAATAATCAATGCGATTATTCATAAAATAAACAATTATGTATTTAAATATATGTCGAGATGTTTGTACCTCTTTTGGCGTTGTGCGAATAGTAGCATTGGATTGATCCTTGACAATGGCACTGGTCGCCTTTATAATGTTCTTCGTAAATTGTGTATCCGAGTTGCTTGCCTCGGGACGCGTCTTATTGCCTGGTGTTGGTATCAACGTTTTTGTTACTTTACTGATTGAACTATCAACTCTAGTCACGATTATGGATGACTCTTTATTCGCCGTTTTATTCACGATGCTGTATTCGATTATTTGCGGTTTTTGTGTCTTGACATTCGGTATCGTCGAATGCTGTTTCTTTTCTGTTTCTATGATGAATGTTAAAGACTCGGTAGGTTCCAATCTTGTCGACGGTACGATGCTTTCGCGGCTAGATTCTAAGAATATCGGATGCTCAGGTCGCTTAACAGGATTTGGTGGAATGTCTAAAATGTATGATCTCGTCGGATTGACATTGCGGTGGATTGTTGACGATTTACTTGGCTGAATATGATCTACTTGAGGTGGCCGCAATTTTGTCGGTATTATTATATTTGTCGTCAACGTCGATGTCGATTGAATGGCAATTCTAAAATACAACAATTCAATTATTATAATTTGTTCTAACAAAAATTTAATTAAATAATTTACGTGTAATATATATTGTACCTAGACACGTGTCTTGTATCAAACGGTCGCACGGTGTAAACGCTAACATGTTCGCTCATTCGCGTTTCTACAGGTCTGAGGATCTCAGCGACATCAACTACGACTGGTAGGTCAACAGTACCGTGAATAATTGGAATTTTCGATTCAATATCCTGGATTACTGGAATATGAGACGTCGCGACGGCAGTGGCTATTTGTATAGAACCAGAAACTGCGACAGCTGGTCTCACAGTAGCGATCTCGAGCGGTCTGGTAGTTGTCAATACTGGTGGTGGCACCATGTCCTAAAATATAACAAACATATTGATGAACATTTTCAGAGTTTTTATACAAATTAAGACACTTTTTAGAAATACTGAGAAATCTTCTTTTTTAGAATTTTTGATATATATATACTATATGAATTCTGAAATGTTCTAACATTTCTCATTCTATAATTTCTGAAAAAATATTTTGAGTGTTACCAGATTTTATAAGATTTTATCAGAAATTATAGAATGAAAAATTAAAAAAATCTTAGAATATATCAAAATTTATATACGAAGAATTATAAAAAGATATAGACGGTTTTGACACTTCTGAAATATTTTAATTTGTATAAAAAGTTCTGAGAAATTTTCTAAAAAGTTATAAAATTAAAATTCTGAAAAATTCTAAAATTTACATGAAAATTTTGAAAAATTATATGAAAAGTTCTGAGAAAAATTTTCACCAACATATGAATTGGAAATAAAAAAAATATTTTAAAGTTTTACCTGTGACAGTAATTCTACGAGGAAAGGTCTTGTAAGTGATGGTCTTGGACTAGGTGGAACCATATTTGTGTTAGGCGGTGCAACTGTTGTCGATTCTTTTAATGGTATATATTTTGGCGGCTTTAAACCTGATTCGTCGGTCGTCATTAAGGCAAATCTATCGTCTACGGGTATATGAGTGGTAGTAATGTCTACCGGTGGTGGTGACATTCCAAGCACATCACTTGACGGTGGTGGCGGTGGTTTAAGTCCTTCTTGCTCTTTTTTCTTCGATTGGTTTGATCCGATTCCCCCGTTTAAGGGTGGTGGCATCATGTTTCTAGAAGGAACGTCCTTGATTTTGCCCTGCTCGCTTTGAGAATCCGAAGAAGCAAAGTTTGTTTGGTAAGCTGTGTCCAAAATTTCATCATTCTTTTTATTCTGTGGTAGATTATGTTTCGTAATTAGCATACTGGGCGGTCGTTCGGTTTGCGTTTTACTATCCATCTCTTCGCCCGTAGCCTCAACCGACATGGAAAACTTGACGTTTGGACGACCATGTGTTTCCAGTCCCGCAATGCCGCTCGAAATGATTACTGGCTCCGGCACTTTAGGTTTCGGTTTTGTCAAGATATGAGGATATTCTGGATGCACTCTCGTGAATGTTCCATGCTCTGGTCGAACAATATTCGGACGTTTATTAGCGATCATAATTGGACGAGATGTAGTATTATTTCTATTTTCAACTGTTTTCTGTTGAGATTTCACAATATTGGAGACTGCTACATCTGCGTCCCAATTCTGAAGATTATGATTTATTTTTATTCCATGATTCAATGTTTGATTGACAAAAATTTCCGCATTATTTGGTTTGATTTTCTCCGGATGTCGTACAGAGTAATCGGGTCTAACTTCTAATTTAATTGGCGGTTTTGTTAATATTTCTGGTTTAATTCGGGTTAGACTGGGTCTTAAATCAGGCCTAATCGGTCTAGAGAACGGTCTTCCAGGTCTATCTACTTCAACACCGAATTGAGGTATAATTGCCGGTGGTTTCAGATCAATGGTATCGTCACGTTCAAGTGAATTTATCGTTGTAACTTGTCCACCTTGCGTCTTGGTCGTAACTGGTCTTGCATCTTCATTATGAGGAGCAGGTATACCGTGAACTATTTCGTAATCGGGTTTGTAGCCGTAAGGAGTAGTCGGATCGATGTGACCATTGTAAACACCAAAAGGTTTGCCTTGTACTACGGGCAATTCGTAAGGTCTCGTATTGTAAGGATCGGTACCATGAGGCACTTGCAATAATGGCTTCCCACCTGTTTCGTGTTCGTAAATTACATCTTGTTCTTGCTCGACTTCCAGCGGTTTGCCTACAACCGTATTGATGGAAACAACTGGTCCATATAAAGTTTGAGATGTTAAAGTTTGATTGAAGCTTTGGGAATCCATTGTGTCTTTTTTGTTCTGATCATCGGTTTCTTGGCTTCTATTTCCTTTTCCATGATACCGATTTTGATAATTAATATACTCCGAGGCACTGATGTCAGAATCCAATTGCGTCTGATCTGTATGTGTATTAGTCTGCCATTTTTCAAAATGATCTCCTGGCAATACATGCTGCGTATTTGTAGACGATACTTGAGAATGCTTATTTTCTTCTGATATTGGATTTGGATGTAAAGGATTGTGGTATTCTATTGCACCAGTGGGCACGTTATCGCTTTGTTTATTGTCAATTGGCAAATTTGGTGGCGTAATATTACCTACATTTGTCTTATCTAGGTAAATATGCGGCGGTCTGTTTTGATTGTCAATTTGAAGAGTGAATACATTAGGGGTAATCCGAGTAGGTTCCTGATGAGACTGAGGACTTATTGGTGGACGATGTGGTAACATAATGGTGTTGTGTGTTTTTATTGGAGGTCTCTGTGGCCCTGAATACGTTGGTTTCCTAATCGGTGGATATCCAGTAGGTCGTTCCACAAAGACGTGTCTATCTAAAGGCCGATTGGTCGTCGGTCTTGGTCGCGGCCTCGGTCGATTATTTAGAGCAAATCTAATTGGCTTCTTGTCGGATTTCCAATTGGTACCTAAAGTTACCTCGTTTCCAGAATCTGGTTTCCCTAGAAATATATAACGATGTGGAACTTCGGTCGGTGTGACTTCCACTCGCCTCGGCGGAACTTGGTCCATCGGAGTTTGACCATTCGAAAAGTGACCGCGCACTGGCGATTGGTGAACTGAATGTACATGAGAATGGACAGACGGATGAGTAGCAGGGTGTCGAACATTTATTGTCTCCGGCTTGTGATGTACAAGAATTTCTGTATGAACGTGGCCTTGACCGGAACCTCCGGATCCATCGGGTCGTTTGATCAAATGGATCTCGGATGGTCTCTTATCGGGTCTCAATACAGATGCCTCTGGCACTTCTAACGGTCTCTCACGTACAGGTGATAACAAAACAGCATACGGACGACTGGAAAAACCTGGTTTCGGTGAAGAAACTTTAAAGTTAGTAGATGGTGATGGAGGAACCATGTAATAAGCTGGATTTTTCTCGCTTGAATATTGAGATAACTCTTCAACCTAAACATATATAGTAATGTAAGAAACATTGCATTATACGCGATGATACTAATAATAAAATCAATATCACACACCTTTTGGATACCCATAAAACCTGGTCCAACTTCAGGTTCTGGATAAGGTGATGGATCGTCGAAATATTGACCACTTATATGAGGTTCATTAGTATCTCCAAATATTAGAGCTTGCGTGCCGCCTTGAGGAATTACGACATTAGCTACTTGACTAGGTTGGATATTGACTAATAAAGGTTGCCCCGTTGATCTATCAATAACGTGTGGGACCTGATGGACTATCGGTTCGGTAGAAATCGGTTTTGACTCTGAGCTCAGTATAATGATAGAACTGTCCGGTAATAGAGGATCTTTTTGTGCCCACGGCGGTCGTTTCTGTTCTTCTGAAGATAATATGACTGAAGTCGGACGTGGTTTTTCGATAAGTTTGTCTGGATGAATCTTGAAATAAATTATTATATGTTACGTACACATATATGCATAAATAAATATATATAGTGCAAATGTATATAATACAAATAAAACATACTTCATCATGTCTTGCAGGTGGTGTTAAGGGATCTTTAGCGCTCCATGGTCTTCTATATTTCTCCGGATTCCACTCTGGAATTTTAGGGTTCACGTTAGGATTTGCATACTGTTCTACATTTGGTCTGTTAGGTGGTTTAAGTAAAGGATCATTCTCCAAGATATCTTGTTTTGATGCGATTCTTTTAGGCGGTGATGATTGAACGGGAGGCAACTTTTGAGACTGTTTAGGAGCTGTTGGATGATTTGTATCGAGAGGAATGGAAACCGGTACTTTCAGATGTTCCTCGTAAACCTGATGTGCTGGCAAAATTTGTATTTGCGCATCTTGCGCAGTTTGTTGAGTTTGTACATCGTCGTCGTCCTCCAGCACTTCTAATACCGGATGTACTGGGATATTCGGTACCGGTAATGGTGGTGGTTTCATACCAATGTGCTCTTCGTTCTTTAAAAGCGTCTGCGGCGGTCTCGGCGCCATTTTACCAGGTTTTCCTATAATAACATCGCTATTTGCGGTAATTATTTCACCCGGAGATATCGGTATACCATCGGCAAGACTACTGGTCACCTTGTGGCGCGTTTCGGCAATGTAATTATGATTGAGATTCGCCAGATGAGCAGCTAGAAAAGATAATCATTTAATATTTGAAACGCACTAAATAAAATAATAACAAATAATTAATTTTCGATAAAAAAAATTATTACCGATATGTTGGCTTTCAGCGGTTTCTATATCACCATCAGCAAATTCTGCGACAGGTATGTAGATAGGGGACCGTTGTGTTGTGACTTCTTGAATTTCTGCGATAGGAACGCTATCGTTTCTACGAGTAGCCGCAGTTTTACCTTGTAATAATCCGGCCATTGCTGTGATTACCGGTCCCAGAGCGGATAAACTATTTATTCCTAGAGAACCCAGACTAAGAAGAGGTTTGCTAACTGAACCATCGTCCCCGGATTGAGAATTTGGCTTCTTATTTTGTGATACATCGCTTGATATCGTACCATTATTATCCTACATAAAAATTGCAAATTTTATTTATTTATAAAATATTTATAAAATTTGATATATTCCATTGCGATAAAATATTAAAGAAAAAAATTTTCTCTTAATTTATACTAGATAAAGTTTGTAAATGAAATATACCTGTTTATTAATTGAATCTGCTAGCTTTATATCAGAGTTAGTGTCCTCCGATGACATTTCCGTTGATATTGTAGTTGTCGAGTTGTTCGTGGCACTTTTCTCGTGCTTTTTTGTATCTATAATAGAGGTTGATTGTGGGAGATTTGAGGTCGCGGTTGGATCGATCTGATCTTCATCGTCGAAGAAGATAATGGTCGAACCCGTGACGACGTTTTTCACCGGATCAGAATGATGCGCGGTCGTCAATAGGGCATTCATATATCCGGCGTCTAATAAACTCGGAGCTATTGATTCCGTTACGACATTTTCAACGATATGTGAACGAGACGTCACAGTTGTTGATGTTTCGCCATCTGGGCCAGCCTATATGTAACAAGAGAGAGATTTTTAATATACACTGTTAAGTTTATGTTAAATTAAATCCGGTTATTTATAATCATTTCTATAGATCACCACTGTTTCTACTCAACATTGTTGTTAGTTTAACTAAAACAATGGAGTTAAATAATTTAACTCAATAAAATATATTAAATTTAATTCAAATTTAGTTTATTATTTACTAACATAAGTGCATATATGTTAATATGGATGTATTGTATTTACTTTGAAACTATAGAGATGAATTGATTTACATTTTGGCATTCATGGAAATTAAAAAAACAAAATATTATTTAATTTAAGACAGGATGCCATTGCTCCTTTGATATTTAACAATGTATATAGAACATAAATACGAAGTACCACATATACCTGCAGTAATGTCGTAAAGTAAGTAAACGTGGTAAGGTATGTTTTAGTAGCGAAGATCTGTATAGGCTCCGGGGTAGGATTAACCGGAGCGGTTTTCATGGTTGTTTTTCGCACCGGCACTTTCTCCAATACCACGTCAGTCGATGTAGCTACATTTGTACGAACTACCGTGCTACCTTTCTCCAAAAATGTATTGAAATATGTGTATGTGATGTAATATGTTTTAGTCATATCCGTCACGCTACTGTCGGTGTTATCCAAGGCAGTTAGGGTAGTTGTGACACTGGTTGGTCGCGGCGGAGGTGCTGATTCCGTTACTATGAGCTAAAAACAAAAATTGAGAAAAAATATAATGCCGTAATAAATACCAACGTAGAAATTTGCGGTAAGAAAATAAGCTAACCTGAGTAATCGTGTCGCTGACCGTCTCTATTTTTGTTCGACCTTCTTCCATAAACGTTTTTTCCAATACTGTGGTACTGAGGTATGTATTGGTTTCCGGTCGCGGAGCTTCTGATGGCTCGAGAATCATGTCTAGGTAATGTTGCGGCGCGGTAACCGTGTTCGTTATGACTCTCGTGCTACTTTCTAAGGCGTCATTCACATCCGGATGATCTGTGTTTAAAGCCAAATATGTGTACGTCGTTTTAAATACTTCGGTGCGTAAAGTCGGGGATGCATCCAGAGTCACAGCTGCTGTTTCAGAGCCAGGTTTCCTGTGTCGTTCCTCTGTTGCTGTATTCGCTACCACCTAGAAAGAAATAACAAATTTATTATACCAATAAGGATATTTGTAAGATGTTTCGAAAACTGATTATTGATTATATGAAATCTGTTGTATTAATAATATGAATAAAATGTATAAAAGGAGATTAAAACTCAAAGAGAGACTTAATATCGTAATTAAACATTTTTGTAACTTTTCTTGATTTAATGATAATTATATATATATATAATTATCAGATTTTTAAAAAGAAATTACATTAAAATTATAGATTACATATATGATATAACTGACAAAATGGTAAATCCAACACGTTGCAATCTTATTTATCTTCTTCATGGTAATATCTTTTATAAAGTAATTTACTCTTTATACATTTTTTAAACAATTAAGTTATAAATGAAATATTCCATATGGTTTAAAATTTTTATGAATCGTAGTAGAGAACAGAGAAAATTTTATTTGGAATAATATATATATATATAATACACAAATACGTTTGCGTAAGCACCTGCTGCTCCGTTGAAACGGTAGTCGTTCCATCCTTGGTAATTGTGCTGAGATACGTGAAAGTTGTTGTGCAAGTCTTCGTGACAAACTCGTTCGGCTTATCCTGCGGCAGAAGCATGACCACTGCTTCTGACAAAGTGAGGGTAGGTTGAGGATTCGAATTTTCCCATCGTAGAGCCGGAGTCGGTCCGGCGACAATGACTTCTACGCCATTTGACATTACACGGGTCGCTAAATTAAATCTGCGCCCTTCTTCCTCATCCTTCGCCTCGTACTCTCCTGTCATTATGATATCATAAATAGCGATTTACATTGCATTATATATATGTATATAAGAGAAGTTGATTCGCAATATCGATTTAATTACTATTTATTCGAAGATATTGAAAAAAAATATTGTAGCAATGTGTGAAAGATACTGTCGGAAAATTGTAAGCTTACCTATTGTTGTTTCAAATCAACGTTCAAATAGTATCTGTATTAATATACAAAGATTAAAAAGAATCGTATATTCGGATTACAATCGAACATACGACAAATTTTTACAGAAAAAGATACAACTGGTAAAGTTATGTAATTAATATAGGGGGGGGGGATTAATATTCGTATGTATCGTACATTTGAAAAACGCAAATTTAGGTATATACAGTGTCGTTTTGTCCATATACAGTATTTACATTTCATACAGGGCTGTAATGTACAGGAAAAAAATTTAGAATACCAAAAGCCAATTGACACAATATTTAATACAGCATTTACACAGTCCAACAGTCCGTTTCGTAAAAGTTCAACAGAATTCGCGTAATCAGGAAGTCTATAGCAATATCTATAGCGAAAAAAAAGTTTAGTCTAAGGATTATATTACATACGAGGATCACCGTGTGCGTTCAACGTTGAAATGATCAGTTTCGCTATCTCGTTACCTTTTTCAACAAGTTTACGCATCTCGATCCATATTACCTCGTTAAAATATTATATCGTTTATATTTCATGTACTAGTTTATTTCAACGTTCTTGCGCACTTGTGCGATCGTCGTGAAAGAGAGAGAGGTCTCAGATGGGTAAAAGGTACTACTCACCGACAACGGGTACTGGATTATACACAGATGATACGAAGCCGGCTGACGACTCCACGGTAGGAGTGACAGTCACCGTGACGGGCACCGTCAACGTAAGTGTCGTCACTCTCGGTCGTACGGTCGTCGATGACGTCACTTTGGTCTCCAGTCCGTTAAGTTGCGTCACCACGTATGTATACGTCCTTAGTCGCGTCGACGTCACTACCGTCTCCGTATAATATACGCTCGTGCTAGGCTCCAGTGCGAGATCCGGCGTGGGTTTAGTCTCTAGATTGACCGTGGTTGATTTTGACGGTAAGATCTCGGGGAAATCGAGGCGAGATAATGACAAGTAAAGATCATCCGCTAGTCCGGCCTCGATCTCCTCCGGCGTAATCTCGCTCGTGACTTTCGTCGCGGGGATTGTCTCGCGGGTGTAATTTGCGCTGAGAGGTATCACGCTGGGTATGTACGAATCATCAAGATGATTGGACGTATCGGTGTCGCGTATCGATGACTTCGTAGTCTCGAGCGGTATAACGCTCTCGAAGCTCGGTGCTATTACGATAGTATCAGATGGAACCGTTCCGATTAGAGAAATCTGGGTTGAATTAGAGTCAATTATGACATCCGGTTGGAGAGGTTGAACTGTTAGATTTTCTTCTGAGCCCTCACTGATCGTTTTTGGCATCACGCTGCGTTCTGTAGTATCTTCAATAGCTTCGGTTGATTTTTGCCCTTTACTTTCTTTACCGAGCATTATCGTCTCAGTAACTGATGTAATTTCTTCCGTCGTGATGTTTTCTTTATCGGGAAGGCTCGTAGATTCATCGGGCACGTTTAATGTAGTGACGTCTTCCATAAAAGTTGTTTGCTCTTCAAGAGTGGCAATGGTGGTAGTTCGTTCTTTTGCTACAAATTTATCGTTACCATCTTTTTTAACGGTAAGTTCAGTAGTCGGTACATATTCATTTAATACAACGGTTTTCGTTGATATCTCTGTATTATTAACGTCTTCCAAAATGATCGATTCCGTTATATTTATCGATGCATTGTCAGATTCCTCAGGCGCTTTTATTGTTTGCTCTTCCGACGGTTCTGCTGATGTTTGACTGATTGGTGTCGTCGTAATATTGTCTGGCTGCATCTCAATATCACTTTTATTAGGTACAATATTATCTTCATCCTTAGGAGAAATTGTGGGATGCTCATCTTTCATTAAAATCGTGACTTTATTTACATTTTCAGTTGTAGTAGTCGTGTCATCACCTTCGTACTTTTCATCTTCCTCGTCAGACGGAGGGAAAAAGAAATTGTCGGTAATAATCACTGGCGTGTTTAATGTGCTTTCTTTGACTATAGCATAGCTGCTATCCGACGACACAGGACTCGCTTCCTCGTCTGGTTTATTATCAATAATATTCGGTGTCTCTTCGAGACTGGGCGTAACGACAGAATTATCTTTTTCTCTAACAATTTCACTCTCATACTCTTTCTCGTCTTCTTCATCTGAATATTCTTCATATTCGGAAGAAGGCGCGGTGAAAAATCCAGTAGTGATAATGGCAAGAGTCGATGTTGGAAATATCGGACGCACTGCGACTAATTTTCTTCTGGTTACTCTGACTTTATTTTTAGTCAACGTCGGCGTAGATTGAAGTTTCCTACGTCTGGTTATAGTTACTTTATGTTTTCCAAAACCAGTAGGTTGGTAATTTCCATAGTCTATCGGAATGTCAGTCGGATAAATCGAGTTTCCCGATCCAACAGTTCTGACACGCGTCACCACGATTCTTCGTGGTGTATGCGTGGTAGACGTAATGTACGCAATATCTTTGGTGCGAGGTGTCAAGGGTCTGCGCCTGACGACCGTAAACTTATGTTGTCTAGCAATTCTGCTACGCACCACGGGTACTCGAATTCGAACACGTTTTCGTGGTGTTTCCTCAAAGATTTCGTCATCATCGTCGATCTTTCCATTGTTTATATAATCCTCGTTTGTGGACCATGTATTAACAATGTCTTCTCTCCTGCGATCAATATTCCTACTTCCATATTGCACCGATTCAGCATAGAGATTACCTGCAAAGGCGATTGTTCCACTCGATTGTTCAAATCACATCTCGCCTTGTATTTAAGTTCACTCCGCGATCTAATAAAAATCTATATGATCAAGCAGAGTACAACGATAAAGCCATTCTCGGGTGTTGCTTTCGTGATGCATTGATTGATTGGAGTTAAATAACGCTGCCGTCTCGTGTTCGGTTTTTGTGTGCTCATCTGATTGAATTTCGCCATGTACATTTTAATAACATTGTCGGGCGCTTGCACGACTTGTCTGTTTGTTGTAATGTTGTTGCCGAGACGGAAGAGTATCATGTCCGGTTTTGTCGTGTGGGCGCGCGTGCGGCGGCAGACCGAGGTTATGTTAGTAAAAGGAAATGAGGGACGACGCTCAAAGAGGATATTTTTAAGAAGGAAATACAGAAGAAGTTCAAGAGATTGGGAGAGAGCGAACTGAATACGTAACGGCCATTCTTACGGATGACTCTTTCACCGAAGTCAATTATTCATGACCCTTTCTTTACGCAACTTTAAGAAAAGGGATCCAAGCGGGATTTTTTATATTACATATGCAACAACTTCGATTTTTATCGATGTTGCTCGTTTTTTTTCCCACTATGATATGCCCGAAGAAGCTGAACCGACGTTCTCCGGATGAAAAAGATTTGGCAAAGGCATGAGTTAGCCTCTAGGACGATTCTAAGTGGGTTTCAATAAAATAATGGACATATAATATAAGGGCGAAAGAGAGAGAGACAGAGAGAGAGAGAGAGAGAGAGGAGGACGAGGAACGGGAGAGGATTTTTGTATAACACAGAGAAGGATAAGATTAGGTATAGATGGACGTGGAAATATGCCGTCCGACGTCACCCACTACGCTCTCAAGACTTTGTGTTGGTGCGTGGTCGATAGGATCTTCACTTCCCGCCAAAATGGCAACGGCCACCGGTCCAGCATGCAATGACGGTGGTATGGAAGGTCGGACTTCGACAACTCCTTCCAAAGTTTCTCTTCGTCTTCTAGATACAGTGGCGGAATCGCCGACTTTTACGGTACTCAGAACAGTGCTGAATTCTCCGGGTCTGCGGCCGGAAACGTAGAGCGTCACCACGCTAGATTCAGCCTTTGTAGCTGCAGAAGCCTTGGATTCTTTTTTCTTTTCGTTCAATTTACGCCCACGTGATCTAGATTTTTGGTATTCTTCTGTTTCATCCTCATAATACTCGTAGTTATCATGTTTATAATCAGAATCGACCGGCTGATGTCTACTCTCGACTTCTCCCGGTAAGGTATTACTCTGTGTAAATGGAGCAGCCGCGAACAGAGGATCCAACAACGGATTGGGATTCTGCGGCTGCGTCTGTGGTTGTTGGAGTAACAACAAAAGGGAATTTATGTTGGCCGCCGGTATCGCAGCCGTTGGAGTCACTACAACGGTGTCCGTTATAAATTCCGTTGCAGTAACGACATTAGTCGAGGAGTCGACTAGAGTCGTCAGAATCTCCTTGCCGCGGAAGGTGAGAGGAATGATAGTGCTCTGATGTTTTGTTATTGTAGTGACGTAGGAGGTAGTGCGTGTATTATACTGCGTAGTGGGTGTGGCTTGGGATAACAAAGAATTCGGTTGACCTAATTGACCCAGAAGTAATTGTGAGAGAAGAATATTGGCAAGGGGAGCGTTGCCGGGCAAGGAAGGCTGTACCGTAGAAACTATGTTCTCCACAGAGAACACCGTCGTAGGTATAATAACTGATTGAGAGACGCGACGGCCACCGAGACTTGTGAGGGTGTGCGAGATACGAGTAGTGGGTGTCTCGTGCAGCAAAAATCGTGTGACCTCGGCCTGGCCTTGATTATTGGTACCCGTCACTTCGCTAACAATTATTACGAGCGGCTTCCCGTCTCCAGCTGTTACTGTGCTATATTGAGAAGGTCCGAGGATTTCAGTGCTTGGTTGCTGTGTTATAATATTTCGATGTTCCGTAACGCCATTGTTCACAACAGGAATCGTTACTTCCGTTGGTACATAATGCGTCACAGTTATAGTGCCGTCGACATTTGGATATACGGTAGGCGCTTCTCGAATATCCTCAAAAGTTCCTCTAGTCCTTGTAGGAACTCTTCTGTTTCCATTTCTTCCGTTTGATGATCTTGAACGAGACGATGATATTCTTCGAGAATTTATTGAAGATTCTGTTGGTTTGGAAGATCCATTTCGTAATCTCGGTGGTCTTACTCTTCCGTTGTCAGATTTAGTAGTAGATCTACTATTCGTTCTGGAAGAGGAAATCGGTCTCTTATATCCCGATCTGTTTGAAGAGGTATCTTTTTCTCTTAATGTAAATTGTCTTCCATTATTTGAGGCCGAAGACGGTTTTATTCTGACAGATCCATTTCTATTTCCATTAGATTGTTTTGATCTAGTTCTAGTACTCTGCTGACTCGATAACTCTGATGTTTCTGCCGTTTGATCGGGATTAGATAACTTCTGTGGTTGTAGAGGCGATAAACTTCGCGCACGATTATTATAACGAGCGGAAGGTTTTGGTGCTGTTTTTATAATGTCTTCATTTGCTGTGGTGTCTAATGAATCAGATCTTTCGTCCGCTTTTACAGAAGAGAATGGAGCGGGTCTACGGAAACGACTACTGTATGCTCTAAGCTGACTAGCCTGACGACGAATTCTTCTTGTTCTTGCTCCGAAAGGTCTAATTTGTACGACGGGTCCAACAGCTTTTCCGGAACGACGATTTACATTGACGTTAGATCTTTTGTCTTCATGTTCAGATCCTTCATAATCATTGTCTGATATTTCCTCAACGGGTTCGTCTTCCAAACCTTCGTTGCCTTCATTTTGTTCCTCACTGGACTCGATCGATTCTTCAGTAGTTACTTCTTGCTTCCTACCAAGAAATCCACGTGGTGGGAACAGACCTGTATTACTCGGTCGTGTTCTCGTAGATACCGGAGGAGTTGCTCTGGTATTTGTTCTTCCATTAGTTACTCTAGGAACTGTTGGCGCGCTCAGTCTATTTAAATTTCCCGATCGTCTTGGAGTTGTAGTCGTTGGTGGTCTTGAAGTAGTCACCGATCTGCCGTTGCTATTTAAATTAATGGGTCTGCGGAATCTTAAGAGTGGATTCGTAGATCTCCTAGATGATTCTGTCGTAGTTTGTAGAGGAGTGGTGACAGTTTCACCGTCGACGTATTCTGTAAACGGTGTTTCATCCGTTACGAGCGTAGTTGTGGTGAACTCATTGGCGTCATTTTCTTGATCATCGTGTCTGACGGTAGGTTGTCCTCTTGATAACGTTGATGATGGTCTGATACCTGCACGAAATCTTGATGAAGCACCGGGAAATGCAGAACTTGAAGCACGAGTTGCAATCCTAGCAGAGGATCCTCTCACAGACGTAGGACCACGTCTGTTGCTTTGAAACACAGACGACGGAGTTATTCTAGATGGTGCTCTACCTCGGGTACTGCCCGCTGGAAACGTCGAACTCGAAATAGTGGCGGATCCGCGTCTGCCCGAAAATCTTCTGGAACCTGACGGAGATAACGTTGAAGAGTACGGTCCAATCGGCGAAGTGACGCGACCCCGCGATGATGCAAACCTATTACTCTTGCCAGCTAAAGTAGCAGTTATCGTCGGGGTTATATCCGTTCTAGTAATAGTCGTCGCGGCTTGCGCGCCTTTGCGTTTTGGATTAAAAGTCGGCCTGTTCCTGGAGGCAAACGGCCTGATGACTGGCGTGAAAGTTCTTTTTCTTGTCGAGAATGTCAATCGTGATTTCTTTTTAGAACTTTGCCCGTCGTCATCTTCCTCGTCTTCTTCGTCGTCTTCTTCATTTTGATCGGAATCCTCGTCTTGATCAGAAGATTCTGAATGATCTTCGGAAGATTGAATAACAGCGGGAGAAGGTGATATTTCCTGGATACCTGTCGATTGACTTGGAGGTAGAGTAGAAGTCGGCGCGATGTTCCTTGTAGAGCTCGGTACAAAGAAACTAGAAGTACTTTCAATAATCTGAGCATATCTTCCCTCAATACTGGTACCAATTACTTTTGATTGATAAAACGTGGTGGTATAGTTGTTCTCCATTTGACCCTGAATTAAACGTACCAGGCCAGTTCGATGGCCATGAGTCGGTGGAATGCTTGCTTTTCTTTCCTCGTCTATTTTCGTGCTTGATGTACTTTCAATCACTTTAGCGTAAGTACCCTCGAAAAGCGTACCAATTTGTTTAGTCGTAAAGTAAACAGTGGTGATTTCATCAGCATCTACTACGCTTCCTCTGTTTAAAGATAAAACTCCTGTAGGGAGTACCGGCGTAGCTATCGACGAAGAAGGTAATGGCGGTGTTTCTACTCTCGTCGAACTCTTTTCCACTCGTGCGTAATATCCATCTATGTAAGTACCGTATACATCCGTCGTGTAGTGAGTTGTAATATCTTCATGTATTTCACTCGAACGTATTGTCGAAATCAAACCTGTTTTGAAAGTTTCGGACACCTTAGACGGTGTCACGGTTTTATCATCGGTATTTATTGTCTGAATTGACGGATACACAGGTCCACCGATAGCACGACCGGTTGCTTGTTGTGTCGTAATATCTGGTATCGATACGCTAGTTACAGTCTCCAGTCTGCTAGACAAAATTGTCTCATTTCCGACGTAAGATGTAGTGAAGTAAGTGAATGTTGTATAGAATGTCGTAGGCTCGGGTGAAATTGATAAAATGTTTACGGCGTTTTGATCGTCAGGTTTTGTTGTAATCGGTAATGGTTCATTTGTATTTTCGGTGATAGATTTTCCAGATCCAACATTGCCGACAGGTGTTACTTCATTATCCGCCGTAATCTTGGACTCCTCTTCATCGTTGGCTGATTCCTCCTCTAACGGTGGATTCACAGTTGGCGTATAAGTCATTATAACACCGAGCTCTACTGTAGGTGTAGGCGAGACTCCCGATGTAACGACATTACTGATTGTTTCTTCACGACTAGTCGTTATGGTATCACCACCCTTATAGAACGTCGTCCAATATGTAAAGGTCGTGAAATATGTCACCGGGAGAGTGCTAGTTGGAATTGGCACTACGATAGACGGTCTTAAGGTTTCCGTGACAACGTTCGTAATTGTCTCCAGGCGACTGGCGACATTCGTTTGATCGCCTTTGTACATTGTCGTAAAGTATGTGAAAGTCGTATAACTAGTTTGTAGAAGCAATGTCGGCGCTGGTTCTACTTCATGATTGTTAGACTCCGACAATTCCTGATCTTCAGGAACAATGTTTCTTTTGTCCACATCTAGAACAGTGCCGCCACCAGAACTAGAAGATGATACGACATCCGTGATCATGGATCCTAGAACTTCTACCTCAGTCGGAGGATTAGGCGTTACTTGCGCGCCTACTTGGAAATTACGAAATAGACGCTCAGTAGTAGACCGATCTTCCAAAGTGGTAGGTTCCTCTGTTGTAATCTCAGTATTGTTTTCAGTAGTTTCAGTATGTGTTACTTGATCAGTATTATTTTGTTGAACTTTCTTTGCTAATAAAAATGCTTCTTCTTGTGATTTCTGACGTTGGAGAGCTTCTAAATAAGCTAAAATTTCTGGAGGGGCCCCAGTCTTATTTTCGACAAATTGAGATCTCGGTGTCATTGGTCGAGCCGTCTCCTGCGGAATCGATTGAACCTTGGTAGGTGTAATTGTCTGTGTGACGACATTAGTGAAAACTTCGGTTCGCGTCTCGATTTCCGTCTCATCGTCTACAAAGATAGTGGTAAAGTACGTATATGTCGTATAATATGTCTTCACCTGTTCCTTTACTTCTACGCTTGCCATAGCTGGCGTGGGGCTTGGTTCTAAATCAGTGGTCCAGCCATCAGATGTTTCAAAATCATCAATAGTCGTTATGGATTCTGTTGGAATATTCTCGTGTAATGTAGTATCCTGCTGCTGGAAAGTGGTTAGACCTCCCTCTGTCGTTTCATCAGGAACGTCTAGTTCAGTACCTTTATTGAATTTCTCGGGAGTGCGACCGTTTGTTATTACCGATGGCAAAATATTTTGCGTTGTTGTTGGCGATATTAGAACAGACTCATCTTTATCGAAGAGACCGGCAACAATGGCAGAAACACCATTTGGTCCAACGGTTTGCGTAATAACATTAGTCTCGACAACTTGCCGACTAGATACACTAGATGTATTATCTTGGAAGAACGTCGTCAGATATGTATATGTCGTGTACAAAGTTTTAAAAATGAGCTCTATCTCTTCATCTTGTTTAGTAGTTTGCTCTTCTTCAGTTTCATCAGGCAAGCTTGATGTTTTCTGCTTTAAGCCTGGTGAGATAGTAGGACGAATTAAATGTTTTGTTGAAGTAGGTCGAATTAACTCTGTCAAAAACGTTACCTCAGAAGAGACTACTTCTCGCGAACGTATCGAAGTCGTAGTCTGATCGCTACCGCCCGGAATGAAGAAAGTTGTGAAGTATGTGAATGTCTTGTAGACAGTAGATGGTAGTAATCTAGTAACTAATGTTACTTTTTCTTCTACGTTGCCTGAATCATGTTTATGTCCGGGTCGAAGATTATTTTGAGGAGAACCGCTTTTGATACTACGACCCTGAGGATCTCCTGGCACAATATCATTAGGAATTTCGTCGTCTAAAGTCGGTAGCACCGATTCAGTCGTTCCTAATACTCTTCTTGCACTTTCTAAGATGTCCTTCAATGTTGTTAAAACACTGTCCGTTGTGCCTCTCAACGGAGTAGTCAATTCATTCATCTCTTCTTCGCTAGTCGTGATGGTCATCGGTGTAGTAGAAGGTAATGCTTCGACAGTAGTATCTCGGTCATCGGATTCTGTTTCAGTTATACCATATTCTGTAGTCGTGTCGTCAGCTCCATATGTTACGGTGGCATCATCCGGGAAGAAATATACGTTTGAAGATGTATGAATTATTTGTGCATAATTCGTGCCAATATATGTGCCATAAATGAGACTTTTGTAATGTGTCGTGGTGCCGTCTAACGATGTAGTAGAATCAACAACTTTCAGAAGACCTGTTGGTTTCAATGAGCCCGTTTCGACATCGGGTACCAGCAGTAATGGTTCTGTAAATCTTTTAGATGATTCAACGTCAATTTCCTCAGTGACGCTTGGTTGAATATTGCGATTGATGGTGTTTAGAAATTGATCATCCAAGCCGTGCTTCCGGTCCCCCTCATAAGGTCGATTGGTTCTTGCGTGTTCCATCACAGTCGTTGGCTGAATCTTTAATACTGCAATACCATCATCCGGACGAAGCGTGGCATCACCTTTGATCGTGGTGGCGGGACGTCCCATGGGTGCCGGTGACGTGCTTGGCGAAAAGACAATGACGGTATCGCCGACTGTTGTCGTGAAATCCGCGAAGCCATGGTAGGTTACCGTAGCGAGAGGCTTCATATCTAGTTTCTTCTGCGACGAAGCTTTTAGCTGTGGTTTAAAAATCTTCGGTATTCGAGGTCTAAAGCTTCTTGACTGCACATCATCGAACGAATCAAAGTTATTTGACACGTACTCGTGTTTGACGGTATAAGTAGGCAGATTATCGGCCGGTCGTACCTTCTCTGGCTTAAACCTCTGCGTATCCATATTTAGCTCTCTTTTATTAAATATATCATTTTCTTTGGACAGTTCGTCTAGTTTCGAAGTATTCTCAGTATCTTTTTTCTTTTCATTTGATTCTGTATCGAATTTTCCACTCTGCGTTTCAAGAGCTCTCAACGGCACGCTATCAAGGGCCAGTCTAAGTTGCCATTCGTCTTCCGGTGTCTTCGACGGATAAACGACGTAAGGACTTGCCGAATCCGGCGTCGGATTTTTGTCGTAGAAAACTTTGCTGGCTGTAGATAGGATTCTTGCATAGAGACGACCATTATCCAAGGTCGTGCCCACAACTTGAGTGGCAAATTCGGTACTCGCACCATGTTGCACGAATGTCCGTGCTGTTTTTGTTAATAATCCAACCGGTGGTAATGACTTTCCATAAGGAATTGCCGATACCAAAAGGACTGTAGTCACTCCTGAGTAGTCAAATCCAAAAGAAATATACGGAATAATATTATAACGGCATAAAAAGACGTCGTGTCAGTAATTTGGCAGTGGAATTGTCGGCAACGTATAAAGAAACGGGGAAGACCGATTACATCAGCAATGTGATTGATTTGAAATCATACACACACACACACACACACACACACACGCACACGCACACAGCATAAATATGTGCAACGAATTTGATTCGTTCAGTCGCATTTCACGTTTACGAGCCCGTCCATGTCATAATCGTATACCGAAATACGTCAGCGTCGTTTGTTTGCGTCAGTCAATATTCGCGTCGTAATATTGTATATTTTTTTTTAATCGTAATGTAGGTCGTCGGAGAGACGGAGTGGCGGACGGACGTTGGAGGCAGACGGCATCCGTTGTTGAGAAGAGTTGTAGGCGGGGAGCAGACAGGAGCAGTAACAGAAACAGAAAAAAAGAGACAGACGATCTTAGTAGATGAGCCTTCTTCTTTCGTAGCCTAGGACACTTGCAACACTATCCGCGGTACCCCGCTTAATTTGCGTCGTTACCCTACTTCTCAAAAAAAACGCTGTTTCTCTTGAAGTGAATAAAACTGGCATGCTTACGAGGAAAAGAAAGAAAGATATTTTATAACCATTAGTTAAGTTGCTTATGTACAACCCCTAAGGCTTGGAAATTCTAAGATTACGCACATTGAGCGGTTTTTTTTGTTAAAAAAAATTAAAATATCTAAAATAATTAATAACCTATTTTTATTTTATTGTTATTTCATTATTTTTAAGAAGTTGAAATATTTAAAAGCTTTTCGCACAACGTGATGAATTTTCATGTCTTGGGGAGGAACATCTCACAATTAATTGTATGACAGATCATAAAGCCAGATACCACTGAAATGAGATGACATATATGCATATTATAGTCAACTCAGCGACAGGAAAGTGTGTATAACCGTTTGAGAAATTTTATTTACACGGCCGCACCTCGCGTCAACACGCACATGGATAATTGAGATACGCAAAATGATGTATCGTGAGAAGAGGTAAGTTATATAGAGAGAGCAGAGACAAAGGACAGAAGCGGAAAAATTGTTCTATGGTACAGGCTTGCACTCAAACTTGACACAGAAGCGTTAAATCTAAAGTGCAAAAATAGGTATTTTTATCAGACATAACTGGAAGAACTCATTTGAAAAGCTCAACTTTGAGTGCAATCCTTGTCTGCGTGTGTCGGTGTGATTCAGGTGTCGCAAATGTGTCACGACTAGCATACACTTGTTAGACACGTAAACATTTACGGAGAGACTTACCGTCTAGGTCCCTTTCTATCCTGGAAGCTCTAATGTTATCTGATAAAACTTCATCTGTAAGAAAAGAAAAATACATTTTTAATGCACATGTCTTTAAGCAATATATTTAATATTAATACCTAATTTTTTTGTGTATATGTAAGTGAGATACAAGGTCGCTTCATTCGACAGAGGAAACGTAGGTGGTGAAAGGAAATTATTGAAGGATGTTATAATAGTAGGAGCGTGCTTCATTTGGTCATCGTTATAGCTCCTCGCGAAATAATTGCTATGCGTCATACGGATGTCATCATATTCCTAGACATTTTTTTATATTGTAACAGTAATTTCCCTTTTGTTATTTATTAAAAGAGAGAAAGAACGTGGATATTTTAAGAATAACACTCGTAAAATTTTTCTCATTTAAATTGCGCTTTTATTCGCAATTAAGGGAAAAAAAACGAGAAAAAGCAAAATACAGACAAGAAATAAAGCAAAATGCAAATGCTTCGTATCTAGGAAGGTGTGTGTGTATATAGGAATGGGCATAAAGAGAGAGGGTTCCAGACGCCGGCGACACCAAAGATGTCGTCCGGAGGCCGCGACGTACAGTTATCTGACCGACTCCTTTTCTCGTAAGGAATATCTTTACGTCGTTTTCTTCCCGCGTACACGTGAGCGCCTATGCACTTGCGTGTGCACGTGACTGCATACGCTACATCTCGAATAGCTATACAAGTGCCTTTCTATATTATAGCGCCTATATAATTTAATTATAGTACAGTGACTGGTTGATCCAGGCAGAAAAGAGTCAATAACAAATTCATCATACATTATCAAACATTCTTTTACCAAGTACGATTATTTACGAACACTTCGTCACGGAAATATTTCCAAATTTTGCTTTCCTTTTGAAACGCAGTCGACACAAACGTCGTTTCATCTTTCTTGACATTTAATGAATAGCAAAGATAGAAGGACATTTGTGTCGACTGTGTCTCCTAAAAGAAAAGCATCCTTAGAATGTCGAGGAATGGTGTATCGCGATCATTACCCAATGATCCCGTGATGTTGAACTCGCGGCAGGTGACATCCGGTTTATTCGACGACGAGCATTTCTCCGTATCGTAGTAATCCGGACCGACGTACTGAGGTCATCCTTGTCCCCGGCCACATTGGGTCAGCTGGTCGACTTCGCGTCGCCCTTCTTTTCCCGGCGTCTGGCCTCCGGCTAACCAAGCCGTTTCGCGGCAAACCGGTCGTCGCGTCACGTTACCCAACAATCGGTAACGATCGCGGTCGCGTCGACGTACGTGGGAGAGAGAATTCGTGTTCGACGTGCGCCGCGTGCGCACGTTATTTTGACGCGACTTGAATCGCGTTATGCGAAATGAGCTGTGTGTGTCATGATTACACCAATCTGTCGCATCAACTCATCATACATATTATATAACTCAAAAATAAAACTTTGCACAACTAGAACAAATTTATTCGTATGTATACACGTTCCGTAACCGAAGCTTAACTGCTATACATAACGCGGGATTGTGAGTGAACGTTGAATAAGATTGCGAAAACATTCCGGATGGTAGTATCGACGAATCATTTCTGTTACTTTCGAGTTGCATGATTTCACGCATAATTTTCCCGCATAGTTTCCCGCGCGCTTGCACGATATCGTAAATTTCAACTTCTGGTATTCGAAGTGCGTTTACTCGCATTCGTAAAGCCGTAAGGAAATACTCGGGCCCACACCTGACGATCGACTTCCACGTATGCAGCTGCATAATCGCGGTTGCATAGGCAAGGGCTACCTTGAGCTCGTTTTCTTACGCGGTACTCGAACGAAGAGAAATCCCTCTGGGGATTACATTCGTTTCGTAAGGATAATTCGTCCATTCATGTCGCGCTGTCTGCGAACCCGCGGCTAATACCCGAAAGATTTTTCTCACCATAAGAACGATGATTGCTCGCGGGTAATCACGGCAGGGCTCGTTTAATAGCGACGACAAGTGGCGTGTTGCGCCAACGAGATTCCACAATGATGGATAGGGTCATCAACATTCCGCAATAAAAAGAGCATTGCGAATCCATAAATGCGTTTGATCTTACTGCTTTCTAGGAATTAGAATTTGATGCTTAGAAACACGTTCTTATATATACTTACGCAACTCAAGCGCATTTAAAATTAGCAATTATTTATGTTGATTACAAAGTTGTTTTATCATTCGAAATAATGAAGACTCTGTTGTGGATATATAGCATTCGGTAGGTGTCTACATTAACCCCAACGTGTCGTAAATTTTAAATGTCTTGTAAGAGTGACGCGAATATCAAGGTAACCCAGTCATCGACCAATGCAAGACAGATTTCAATCTCACTTTCAATGGTAGGCGACATCATATACATATTACGGACCGTACTTGGTCGGAATAATACTATGATACGCGAAACGTGTGAATAAACAGATGTTATGAAGACTATAACGAAGATACTTACTTTTGAAATATTTAGCAAAGATAAGTAATTACATAGAAAGAACGATTTTTCATTGATGTATTTAACAGTTTAATTAGATATACAAATCTGAAAATATTTTTTTGAAACCATCGTAATTATGTTAAACACTCAGGCTGGTTATTAAAGCTTCAAAATTTTTGCATTATTTCTATGATTTAACAAAATTACTTTTAGATGCTTATCTAATTAAATTTTTTAATACTTAGTAAAATCGTTTTTCCGGTGTAGAAACAGAAATCAATTCTAAATTAACTCTGAGAGGATTCCTTACCTGTTTTTTATTCAAATAAAAGTTTAAAATTATATACGTGTTCAACTTTGCGATGCTTGCGTCAGAAAATGACGAATCACATTAACGTTGCTTTCCGGTGAAAGCCCAAAAAAGAAAGAACAATGTACGATGAGGAAGCAAACGCTCCACGTAATTTGTCGAAATCTGATTTTGCCGTGGCAGTTATGAATTAATTTCTCACATTGCGAATAACGAGTTAACTAGCCGTGTAATAGTCGATGCGGCTATTCGAGAATGTATGTTCGCTTTGAGACACGTATAGATATACGTGTGGCAAACCAAGAATAATGATGATTACTTTCGCTTGCTCAATGATTTCTTGTAACCGACCGGCGCGGCGGCGCGGCGCGGCGTACCTACAACGTTTCGCATCGATACTCTCCTTTATTTTCTGTCATTTAATTGCATTTGCAAAAAGTGTCGAGAACTCAAATTTCACAAAGGGTTAATTCTCTTCTTAGTAAAAAAAACGGTTCTTGGTGAGAAACTCAGTAGCTCCGAAGTGTGTACAATATCGTTGCGAAATTTTCAGAGATGTTTCAATCGTCCTACAACTCCGCGCGCTATTGTCTCGTGTTAATTGAGAACGTATCGATCTTTCACGCTAAATTTTGCAAGCATAACATAAAATCTCGCACTTCAGGCGCCACGGAACGGGTTTGAGGGAGAAAGCGTTTGATCGTGGGAACCGGTAATGGTGGCACCAACGGATACGGAGTTTTACGCAAATAAAATTGTTTAAATTATTACTTTTGCCACACATTAAAAACCAGTGCAGGTTCACGCATACTGTTTGAAACAATACATTAGGCATGCTAAAGATGCTGTGATGAATATTGATCGTATTTCTTATAAGACTTGTTTACAAAATAATCTCTTTTGACTTGTCTGCTGGAATAATTGGAATACTACGGAAAGTCGAAGAGACTTATATTGAAGAATTTACGTAATAAAAATATCGTTTAGATATTCGCTGCTGTTCCTCGTAACCTCTGTCATGCGTAACGTCGCGTTCATTCACCGTTTAAGAGACAAGTCCACGGTGAGATTCGTGAGTTCAATATCCATTGGGTAGCTTTGTCCAGTCAACCAACCGGAAAATGACAAGTTGCTTCCGCAATACCCAATCTTTCTTGTTCTTTCACGTCATATAAATGTCTTTTGGCACGGCTAACATGGGTCGCGCTCGTGCGAGCGTAAAAGAAAGTAAACTGACGGGCGAGAAAAGAAGTGCGCTATATAATGCGTATAATGTTATATTTACATCAGTTACATGACGCACAGATCGATCTAATTCATTTTACATAGCGAACTATTTCGTCTAAAATAAGATAGAAAATATGTGGTCTGTTTAAAAAGAAAGTATATTTTTCTGTTTTTGATAATAATTTAAAAACTGATGGTTAAACAATCATAAATACTTTTAAAAGAATTCAAATATTTTTTGATATAATTTACTTCTAAGAGAAAGAGATATTTTTTGTATTCTAGTCTTTATAGTCAAGCTTCCTAAATTTCTCTTTATTTAAAGCAACTTTATCACGGTTGGAACGTAAAGATTTGACAAAAAGCAGCAATAACAGGATAATTTTTATAATTATTTTTGTGATGAAAGATATAATAGATTTTATTTTTCAGTTAAACATTTTATTTAAAATCTCAATTCTATATTATAATCGCATGTCGGGACTAATTATAAATGTAAAATGTGAGAGGAGAACGAAGTTTTTAAAATGTAAAAAACAATTTCATTTAATTATTATTTTAAACATTTTATATCGCGGCAACATTGTTTTGAAACGGCATTTGGCCGTTGTTAGTATTATTTTTTTTTATGCGCCACCCGCACCGCGCTGGTGTCGTCGTGCCCTTTGTACACAGTCACCTTATTTATCCATTCGCACAACGGCATTTATATAAGATGATAGGTAGTGTATAATATATCCTCTCGCGTGATCACAAGTAGCAAAAGTATGCCAGACGCGATTATTCCCTACGTTAGTGATTAGTATAAAATATTTTGCGCGATTTATTCATTTCAAATTGAATCCAAGTAGCCAGAGTAACAAAAAGATGTAAATTAATATTTTTATCGTGATTTTCGTGGACGGTTATCATTTCTTTGAAGATGCCTAGATCCGAATAACCTATTCTCTTTTTTTAATAACTTTATATAATCGAAGTCTCGTAATAAAAAAGCATTATATTTAAATCTTTATTTTTTAATACTATTATAATAAACTATATATAACGTTTTTAACATTTAGTTTTTACTTATCTTGTTCAGATAATTATAATTAAATCCATATCTCAAATACTAATAATTGGAAATCAATAATATGTTGTTAATAATAATAATTTTAATTGAGTTATACAAAGATTTTAGATGATCGTTTATGTAAAAAAAATCAAGTGATTTCCGAGTTAACAATAAAATCTCACGAGAATATATATTCGAAATATCTTGCAAGTAGAATGTTCAATTTTGATCACGTATCTTTGAACGTTGGTTTTGAATTTTTCCGTCATTGCCGAATAAATCTACACATCGTACTTAATTAATAAGCAGAAACTGTAATTAACTTTGTATCTTAATATTTATTAAGTGCATAGCATTAACTTGATATTTGAAACGTCAGTGATTTATTAAAGCTCTATGATTTAACGTTCTTCCGTTGCGAGACGTCGAGCGGATCGTAGCTTCCTGCGATCGTACTTTTTCCGCATTCATAAGTATTCTTCCTTCCGTCGCAGTACGGTAAAGCGCGTGTCGTAAGCGATTAATGTCGGGAGTGCCGTGCAATCATCGTATTCTAGATTCCGTGAACATAACGTGACTAACGTGCGAACATAATTAACTGTGTTTTCGCGAGTAAGTGTTATGTAAGTGTAATGAATTAGGAACTTGAGAGAAGGTCTGGAAGATATCGGGTAACGGCAGAACAACTAAGATAATAAAGGTAAGCTAAAATTATAATTTACACATTTGTTACGGAATTAATTTATTCCAATTTATACTCCTCACAATTATGACATTGTTTTTTCAATTCTTATAAGAATATTTATAAAATTTCATGACAGGTTTGTACGTTGTTAAAAAAAGACTTGTAATCAAATATTAAGTAATTATTTTATGAAATCTAAAAAGGCAATTAGACGATTTAGTGTAATGATTATTTTTTTTACGTATTTTGGAATTATTTTGGAGGTTGTATTATAATTTAGATTTTATGGTTGTATTTTACAAATCAATATAGTGTTACAACTCCATTGTAATGCGACGCGATGTATCGGTGAGTGTTCAATTATCTTTCATTTTAATCTGACAATAAGGCAATGAATCCGTGAATATTGCAGCTAAATGTAATACCTTTCTCATAGATTCATTGTCTTGCATAAGGTACGATAGATTAATACAAACATTTAATGATCCTGTGTATAAGATATATGTCTATTTATTGTGTTTTCTGTCAGAGAGTCATAAGTTAACTCACATGCCAGGACATTTGCTAGATATTTTAATTAAAGACTTTTTCTTAAAAAAAATTTATATATAAGAAATGATAATATTTTTAGATTTGAAAAAGATACTCACGACTTTTCATCTTTATGTGAATTACTCCATCATTAGATACTTATAATATTTCTCACTGCGAATGTACTTCGATTGAGCAAAAAATATGAATAAATAATGAATTATAACTTTGATTTTTTATATTAAAATTTTAACTCTAATTTCTAAAAAATCGGTGTTAAAATATTGTGCCTCATCGTCAGATACTATGATACACGTGTTATCTTCTAATGCACGCCTGCTGCCACGTGAGTTGGCAGTCGGACGCACGTGACCGACAGCGTGTCCGACGGCTGAGAGAATGGCCGGACAAACGGATATACGGTTCTTGCTATTACAAGGACCACCTTTTACATCTTTGTACATACTGATAGTTTGCGTCATACCTGCGTGCGAAATATCGGCGATGAAGTAGGAAAACGGGCACCGCGTACTCGAAACATTTAAACTTCGTTAACAAAACTAACCCGCACAAATTTTTAAAAACATATAATAAGAGTAAATCCTGGAAAA